CACAGCCATTCATCATCAGCAATCAGTCAGTCAAAGATGATGTCTGATGTGATCAATGAGTTTGAGGTGAACGCAGGTATCCATTTGAGAAAAAAAAAATCATTCTCCATGGGCAAGGTCTGGAACAAGTTCAGAAGAATGAGTTCGTTCAAAGGTCCATCGAGCGAGGAAGAGTTGATAATCAGCCTGCCGTCATCACCGCGCCAAGTCGACCCAACCCCATTCACCGGAGACATCAACATCAAGTCGCTGCTGAGTAGTTCTGCATGTCCAATGTCACCACCAAGGGATTCCCCATTGGTGACCTCTCCCGAGCTCTACAGCACATCCAAGACTCAATCAAGACGTGAGAGGAGCAATACCATCAGCCACTCACACTCCTCATCCTCTGTTTCCGGATCTGGTAGTGTTGAGACTCGTGGGGCAAGGTCACCAACACTCAGCCAAACAACGTCATTGGTGCCGCCACCGGCCAAGCTCAAAGAGACATATGATGGTCAACATCTATACGACAACCAAGTATCAAACTCCAAGAAGAATCGTGAGAGGACACTCGAGAGCTTTGTCGTGCCGGCTTCCAACTCCAATCACAAGGCTTAGAAGTCTGGATCATCAGCCGACCTTAACAACAACAACAACAACAGCAGCAAGAAGTCCAAGAAGTCATCATCATCCTCAAATGGAATGGATGACTCTTTCAGAATCGATGGCAACAACTTGGGAACGATACTCACACAGAGTCTTTGTAACAATCCAAGCGAGTTCATCAAAGGTCTCATGGCAGATACCAACCCTAGATCACATGTTGGCATCCAGTTTACTTGTGAGGAAGGTGTTCCAAAGATCAAGTCCGCCAACATCGAGTCCCTCCTCAGTCCTAACTCACGAACGAGGCAACAGTATGTGTTTGATTGATCATTATGGAATAGTTCCAATCATCTAAACCCACTCTCCTCATCAATCAATCCATTAGTCTTCGATCTTGAGATACTATTCTTGGACACATACCTACTATTCACAAATGTGGATATTGTTATCCATCACTTATTCAACAGGTTCAAGAACAATGGATCACTAGTGAGACAGAAGGTGTTAAGATTCACTCAACATTGGGTAGACAGGAATTGGTCAGACTTTGACTTCCAAGACAGTTTCACATTGATGGATGTCAAGCCACTAGTATGTCCCTTCATACATGACATATCGTTTACATCTTTCTACATTATTGATTGATTGAGTTGGTAATTCATTCATTCATTCATTCACTTGACTTCAATCTTGGAACTATTCCAATCAATCAATCAATCAATCACTAACCATTCTCAAACAATCACAATAGGAAATTGCAAGACAGTTAACAATCATAGATCATAGATTGTTGATGAATATATCGAGGGAGGACTTGTTGAGATGTGCTGGTCTGAGGTATAATAGAGATGAAGGTAGACCAGTATCCATTACCCAAATAACAGAGAGATTCAATAATGTTAGTCGATGGGTATCCACCAAGGTTGTCACATGCCAGCCATCAGAAAGGATTGACATAATATTCAAGTTTATCAACATTGCCCTAGTATGTATATATACGATCAACTTGATCACTCGAGTTACACCTACTAACATCACTCATTGTACAATACAACATTAATAGAACTGTTGGGTACTAAAGATCTTTAGTGGTACGATGGCCATTGTGTCTGGATTGAAGTGTGGCGCACTCAATAGGTATACCTCGGCTTGGGAACATGTAAATAGTTCAAAGCTTGGAAAGAGATTGGAAGAATTGGTGCCTCTTGCAACCTATCCAAACAAATTGCGAAAGATCATTGATAAAGTTGATCAACCTGCCGTTCCAAACTTGCACGCCTACTTGAATCATTTGGCCATCATCACGGAAGGCAACGCATCAACAATCAACGACTATCAGATCAATCTGGCGCGATACGAGATGATTGGTAGGATATTCAACAAATTGAATCAGTTCAAATCCTGCTCCTATGTGTTGGTGCCATTGGGAGTGTTCCAAGACAGTCTGGAGAGCCTGCCACTGTTGTCTGACAACGAGCTGTATGAGGCTGCCAAGTTAGAGACCTGTCAAGAAAATGAAAGGTCTTTGTTGGCATCGATGACGTCACAGCCACAACATCAACAACAGTACTTCCTTAAAAAAGGAAAGAAGTAAGTGAGCGAGTGAACCAGTCAAGTGAATGTGCGAGCCAAAGATATTAGCTTCCGAAGCTGCGGGGATAAATAAACTTTCAAACTCAAAGTAATGAAATTGATAAAGTGAATAACCAAGTTCAATGGACTTCATATATATTAATATAATCATTCATTCATTTATTAACGGAAAGTAATAATAATAATACAAATAATAATAATATTTATAATATTAATAATAGTAATAATAATAATGGATGTTATATCAAATGATAAACCAATTATTATGACTGACCTTGGATCAGGTTCAATCAAGATTGGATTAACAAATGAGAATGAAAAACCTAATATCATTCCAAGTATTTATGGTAGATCTAGATTCCAACAACAAAGAGGTGACTACAGTTATACCTATGGTTCAGAAGCAATGTCCAAGAGAGGAGTCTTAGTATTATCTAAATTAATGGATAATGGTCAGATCAATAATTTTGATCACTTTGTACAGCTTCTCAATTATACCTCCCAGACCACCAAGATTAATTTCACCGAGCATCCAATGATAATCACTGAGGCACCCAAAAACCCTAGGGATCATACTGAGCAGTTGGTCGAGGTACTGTTCAACCAAGTTGGCTCCTCTTCCATTATTATTTCCTCCCCTGCCACGCTCTCCTCATACTCTTATTTTGGAAAGAGTGGTGTCATTCTTGATTGTGGAGAATCAATTACAACCGCCACTCCTATTATCAATGGCCAAGTCTTTACAGGAGCCATCAAGCGTATGGATCTCGGTGGCCGTCACGTGGACAATCACTTTGCCGATATATTAAGAGAGGATGGCCTAATTTTCAGCTCAACATCGGAGATGGAAATCGTTAGAGAGATCAAAGAACATGTGTCACATGTCCAGCTGGATCCCTTGTCACCCACCAACTACCATCGTTCATATGAGCTTCCAGACGGCAATGTGATTAATATTGGCAATCAAACATACCGTTGTGCCGAGACCTTGTTCAACTCTAATCTTCCACACGAATATGGTATTCAACAATTGGTTGATCAGTCGATCAAGGAGTGCATTGAGATCTCAAAGTTGTTCCCTGAAGACGGAGATATCCCCCCTTTGGATATTCTTCTTGTAGGAGGATCAACTAAGATGCCTGGTTTGGAAAAAAGACTTGCTAAAGAATTGACAAAGTTGAAGACTCCCTTCAGAAATGTCATAGGTGCCAATGACAGGTCTAACTATACATGGCTTCAAGGTGCTACTATTGCACCTCATTTGGAGAGCATGAACCTAACTTGGATGACTAGGTCGGAGTATGAAGAAGATGGTCCATCCAGGATTCACACACACAAACCTTGAGAACTCAGAGATGCAAGTTTCCCTGAATTCATGCTTTTCATTCAAAAAATCTGATCAGGTCCACTCAAGTCTTCTTCAATCATCATTCAAATCATACAAATAATAATAAATGAATAATAATAATAATAATATAAGAGTTAATATATTTTTATTTGGCAAGACTAAAGGTGGAAAGTCAACTTTATGTAATGTTCTCAGTGGCACAGAAGACTATGAGGAGGGCAACCTATCAAAGAGTACAACGACGAATCATCAACTTGGAAAGAACTATAATGTTGATGAACTTGAACTCTTTCTAATGGATACTATTGGCTTTGGTGACACTGGAATCGACCCTAAAGAGTTGATCAAGAAGACTGCTGCCGCCATACTCGATTTCAATGGAGGCATCAACGTCTTTATCTTTGTATACGAGTCGTGCTTTGGCAAAGTGGAGCGCGACGCATTAGACATGCTCAAGGATACTCTGTTCGCCGATCAAGCGATCATCAATCACATATTGATCGTTCGGACAAAGTTTGAAGACTTTGATGATCCTTCAGCTTGTGATGCCGACATTGCGGCCCTGAATGGGATTGAACACTTTGCGCCCTATCATCAATGCCCTGTTGCACATGTAGATAATCGTACATACAAAATAGACCCGGGCGGCGCGGCCAGGGCACAATCAAGGGTGATCATACTCAATCACATCAGACAGAGGTTCATTCATTCATCCTACAATCCCAATCTCGATCAACTGATGCACCGCGTGGATAGTTGGAAGACAGTGGAGGAGCGACTGGAAGATCAACGACAGGAGACACTCAGATTGGAGATGGAAGTCAGACTGCGAGAGGAAGAAGCAAACATGAGACTGGAACAACAAAGATTGGAGGCATTGGTCAGAGAGAAGGAAGAGCGCCAGAGACAATTGGAGGATATCAAGAGAAACCTCGGTCAATATATCAAGAGCAGTGTCGCTTTGGAGTCGACCAAGGCTCATGTGGATCAGCTGCAAGATAAGATCGTCAAGGAGATTGCGGACCTAGGTGGCAACCCTTTTCTCCGCGCCGTCTTCAAGAATCTGGATCAGAAGAAGGTCTAAGATTGATTGATTGAACAACAATGGGCATCCACCAAGGTTGTCACGGGTCAGCCATCCGAAAGGATTGACCTCATAAACAAGTTTATCAACATTGCCCTAGTAGGTATATGATCAACATGATAACTCAACTTGAGTGAGTCCTACATCGACTAAACTAACATCATCAAATGTACATTGATTGAACTGTAGGTATCAATGCGTCACAAGCACAACAACATCAACCGTACCTTCTAAAAGGAAGGAAATGAGTTTATTAATTACAAACTTGAACAGATTAGGATCTGGCTTTGAGACAGACTTGGAACTGGTTTGGAGTTATCACCAGTCCGAACAACTCCTCATCATTGACAGGTTGGCCATCGATAGAGTTCACTTTGAATCTGTTTACAATGTTGGCACAGCCTACGAACATCTCATCGAGGGCAAGTATCTGTCCAACACAATTCCGAGGACCACAACTGAATGATTGCAAGTAATCATTGTGGTTTACGTCCTCAACCAGGAATCTCTCAGGTCTGAATTCATCAGGGTTGGTCCAATGATCAGAGTTGTGATGGAGTGCACGTTGGTTAATCATCACCATGGCACCCTTGGGAATGTAGTACTTGTCGGCAATAATAATTGACTCCTTTGCTTGACGAGGTAGGCCAAGTGGGAGCACTGGCATTATCCTCATCACCTCCTTGATCACAGCATTAGTGTAGGGACATTTGGAACGATGGGCCACAGTAGCTCGGTTGCCCAGACCAACAACACTCTCTAGTTCACCGGCCATCTTCTCCTGGATCTCTGGATAGTTGATCATAAACATCAACAACAACTCCAATGTTGAAGCACTGGTCTCACTCCCAGCAACAATAAAGTCATTACCAACCATGACGACTGAATCCTTGTCCTGTCCCTTTGAGTCAATGATCAAGTGGTCCAACAAGTCCCTTGGGCTGAGATTCATTGTTGGTGATTTGTTAGTGAGCTAGACCGAGAAGAAATGTTAAATATGTATTGATCAAACATACTAATTCTCATCAAGGGTTTCCAAATGTTCGTTGTAGATCTCCTGGGCAATTTGGAATACTTTATCAATCTCTGAACTGAAGAGTTTGAAATAGAGTGCACGAAGTGGTCTCAAGAAATTGATGCAGTCACCCAATTTAAATATATTTTTTTGTTTGTTTTAATTTAAAATAATTAATATATATATATATGTGTGAAGATATTTATCTTCCAGGAGCTAATTTACACAAATTATTACGTTTACTCTCTCTTGAATATTATTGAATAGGTGCCATCTCAATGTATTCGGTTATGAACATCAACGGGTAGACATCTATATCATATTATAAAGTTAGATCGTAAATCAAGTGAGTGACTCAATTCATACAAATTACTCGAATACCACCTTGCCACTCCTACATTCAGAGCCACTCCCATCATCAATCAATTGCGCACGCTATACTCAATCTCGGACCAAGCCTACACTCACGGACATACTCGCATCATCCGACATTGTACATCACTCATCAACTCAATCCAGGACAACAACAAGATGTAAGTTCATATTTGATTAATATATTGATTGGATGGTGTCCTAACCAACAAAAACATTCATAGACTACCTGGACAAGGACAACCTGACACTCCAATGCACATTGCCAATTATGAGTCATGCGAGACAGCATTGCACCGAGTGTTTGGTGATACCAAGTTGATGTCAATCATTATGCATTGTGTTGAAGTCATCCATCAAACATTAGGATTCAGCTCAAAGTCAATCAAAGGACGACAATTACTTAATCAACATTGTTTGGCTGATTATATCAAGTATGGTGCTGTGGAATGGTTCCACGCCAGCTTCTCCTCATCACACATGGTCAACATTTTCAATAACAATCTATTGTTTGAGGCCATGCTCCATCCAAATCTCATAATCTTGGACACCTTGTTGGCACACCCAAGAATGACTTTGAACAAGGGTGATAAAGTTGAACTCAATCAGTTTATCAACTCACTCAGTATGTCATTCCACACCTTTCCAAAATGGGAGCAATTATTGGAGAGGTACCTATCAATCGCCGGACCAGCAGCAGAGGATGGATACATCATAGATCATACCTGCTTGGTTCATAGCAATGCCCATCCCACATTTGTTCGCAAGCTCAAACAGCTTGGTGTTACATTCTCATCCGATCAATTGAATGTTAAGGAGGTCGATGTGCAATGGCTGGACAAGCCATGGGCCCCGGAGATGATGATACTTCTGGTCAAGGGATTGCTGTTGGATCTTCAAGATGCTCCATCACTCATTCGCAAGGCAATCAAGAGATGTGGAACAACATTGACACCATTGATCAAATATTCTTTATTCGATGTAAATGGATTGGATTGGCTCATTCCATTTTGGAATGATCATCGATATGGATCCAAGTTGTTGTCAGCAGCATGCGTTCGCCATCATCAGAGATACTGGATGCTGTGTTGGATTGCATTAAACTTGACGCAATGCCCACTCACAAACTTATCCATCTATTTAAAAAGGCATCGAATAAGTGCAACAACATCACATTAATGGCAAAAATTTATGATCTAATCAACATCAAGTCATCCAAAGATCTCGAACCATTCTCTCCATTGTCCACACTGTCTGATGCTTTGTCCGGAGGACACATAGAAGCAGTCAACTACATACTCGACCTCCCAGCCCAACACCCAGACAGTGTGGACAAGAATGTTTACATCATCAATGACATCCATCACAACATCATATCATTGGCATTGATTGAGAGATTGCTTGCGCACACCAATTTCAAATGCTCTTTCCACGATGTCCTTGGAAAGGCGATCCGAGCACAGAACAAAGAGGTCGTGGATATGTTGGTAAGGGTCGCGGCCCCCCGTCGCAGCATCATAAGATTTGATCTAGTGTTGGCATTTCAGGAGGCATTGGATGTTGGAGATGTTGACTCTGCCTGTATGATAGGACATGATTGTGCGATCACGTTATTATAGCGCCAATTCAAAGGCACTCTTTTAACAAATCAAGAGAATATTGTTCAAAGATAACATACTCAAGTTTGCCAGATTGTTCATTGAAACACAAAGTGATCGAGTTCGGGCACTGACCATGGCCTCAGAATTATCTTTGGATCATATCAAGTTGGTGATGGAGCATCACAATCCGCGACTCAATGACTTAATGATGCTAGTCACAAACTGCATCAAACGAGAGGACATTGAGTCGATCCAGTATCTTGTCCAATACGCCTTGGGTATAGGATACAGACCATATTCAACAATCCCATATGAGATATTATCTGTATCAGTTGTCCGATTCATACTAGATCAACAGTATCTCAATGTAAACATTCTTGACGATCCGCATGGTGTTGACCTAGCATATATACGTGGCGACAGGAGTAACAACAGACTAAATCAACTTGGAAGAATTGTTGATAGGGCCTGCGAACATGGAAATCTGGATACAATTCGTTTGGTTCACAATCGATGTATCGCGAGTGAGTAACTCCTGAAACATCTTCCATCATATGGTTCCATCTATGAGGCTGCCAAACTCAATCACTATCAAGTCCTTCACTATCTATTTGAATGTGATGGTGATAATGGTGTTTCGAGTCTATTTCAACGTGCATATGTCACTCCATCAAACATCATCCGCACTATCAAACATGTTCCTCAAGGTGCATCCATCCGCGGATGTCTAAACATATTGGCAATGTGTGATCGTGTTATGTCCACTATGACTACACCATCAAGCGGTGATTTAATAAATACTAGCAACATTCATTCCATTCCAGAGTCAATCCAGTCCATTTCATCAAATGAAGTTTCAAAAGTTTGATTGTGGAAAGTGATTGAGAAGGCGAGCCTGGAAAGTGTTGATGAATGATCAATCTTCAATACAATCAATGTCCAAACATTGTAAATTATATATATAACAATGAATACATACATATCCAATCATAAAGATAAAGTTATCCATAATGTATTTAAAAATAACAAGTTAGGTCGAATGATCATTGATCATGTGACATCCATTCATCAGAGATGGATGGCCCTTGACAGATATCTAAACACAAAGAGGGGCACACAACAACAACAACAACAACTACAAGGAGAATCAATAATATCAGTGATCAAAGGTAGTAAACTACTAGATGATGGCTCTCTCATTGAAATGCTAAAGTACCGAGCCACTCAATGGTTCATCGAGGCATTCGACAGTGTATCGACATCATACCCACTCAATGATATACTACTGAGCAAGGCTGCTCATTATCACAATGTACAAGTATTCCAACATCTTGGTAAACATACAAGTATGACTTTGCCAGAGTCCAAGGACGACCTGGTCGTCGACATACTTAAATGTTTGAGTGACACCATGCTCGAGTCCTACTTGGCTATGACAGCACACCACCCTCTACCTGGATATGCAGGTAGCCACCTCGCCCCTGTCCTTGGCAGCGGCAACATACCTCTGATCCGTCTCCTACTCAGACATGTAGATAGGAGCAACTTGAACCACTCCTCGCTGCCAGACCTTGATCGAGGGCTCAATGTGGACATTATCAAGGTGTTTCTCGAGGAGCTTGGACCTAAGACCCTCAAGCTGGATGGCTTCAAAATGCTGGGCAATATCTTGATCAACTCAATTAAGTTCAACATGATCGAATCTGCTCAATACTTGATTGATCACCACCCAATACAAGATACAAGTGTATGGTGGCAGAAGAATGTTGGACTCTTGGAACACTGTGCCGTGTATGGCAATGTGGACATCTTCAAGATGCTGTGTGACTCAAAGGGTGGCTTCACCTATCTCTACCAAGCTCAACTAGATTGGTTGATATTCGTTGGAGAGGCCAATGGAAGGACTAAGTTCATCAGCTACATACGATCATTGATGGCGGCTGCAACTGATGGAGACACCCAAAACAAGCCGATGGAACAGCCTAATACATCAATAGCCAACTCGTCTGCATCGAAGGAATTGGTACCACTACCACGACTTCGTGTCACCCTCATGGACAAACTGGCCGCCATCAACAAAGCAATAGTCAATGATGAGGTGAGCCGTGTCACATATCTCATTGAGCAATATGATGTTGCTATTGGTCTCCTCCCGGAAACTTGTGGCGTCATGTCGTTGGACATGATCCAACTGATCACAGCTCAATGGAAGCCACTACTGATGGTCGAGACCTACACCCTTGTCAACATGATCAACGCAATGGGTGCCTTAAACAATCACATCACTGTAGATCTGGTCTCCCAACTGATCAGCAACTGCTGCTTCACCAAACCAAGTTACATGGATGATGCATTGGAGGCGGCGGCACGTGTCTCGAGTCGATTGATGAGACGCATCTCTGACTCATTCTTTACGCGGTACACATCAAGATGTCTAGTCAAAGCGATGGAAGCACTCTGTATCGATACAATGGCATACATTTTCACCATGCTAAATCAGGATCTCCTCGAATTCCCAGATGAATCCAAGGACAACGACGTTGTCTACAAGGCTGTACTCAAGCTCATATCCACTGGACCATTGGACACGATTGCCCTAACACTTCACAACATGCCATCATTGATGAAGCATCCTGCTAAACTATGCTTGGCAGCAGTTACAAACACATTGGATGTGTTTGAGTATTTGTTGGACAAGTGTACACCAACATTGAATCATGGTCATCTTCAAGAGATACTCCACGAAGCATTGATCAAAGACCGACAACATGTAATGGATATATTATATGAGCGTCACAGCGACAAGAATGGAACAATCCTACAACTCAATCCCAATGTGTATACATTGAAGATGGCTGCCTACTGCAATGCCCATCATTCATTACAATATCATTTTGGTACACCAATATTCTATCAAATGTCCAAGGAATACCGACTTGGAGTTATTCACACGGTGATGGATGTTGCATATGCCAATGGACACACCTCCATCATCAGACATTGTTCGTCACTCGTACAATCAATCAAAGTTCAGAATAAGAAGAGGTAAATAATGTCATTCATGAATGAATCAATCAATGAAAGAATAGATATTAATCAATCAATCAATCAATCAATCAATCAATCATATAGAAAACATCCAGATCCAGACAATGAAGAGCCCTCAGTTGCGCTCCCCACAGCACCAACTGATGCGCCCATGGACACAGCATTCCATAAAGTGTTCAGGGATAAACGTCTGTGCAGGATCATCACAGGTTTGGTTGGATCGATACATGATACACTTGGCATACCTACAAATGTACGCATAAAGGGATTTGAACTATACTCCAAAGATTCATTGATCACCTATCTCAACTATGGCATCACTGAATCATTCATCAAGTCGTTCTCCTCGGTTGCCAACTATCCTCTCAACAACTTGTTGTTGTTTGAGTCTATTTGTGTGTGTGATACACGCTCGCTGGCCCTCCTCCAATCATACCCACAAATGACCCTGGACTTCCCATCGTGGAGAGACAATGATCGAGACAGTCTACAACTTCTCAAATACTTGTTCTCACATCTGTCCTCATGCACCAAGCCAGGTTGGTTGCAAATGCTCGAGGAATATCTGGAGTACACATGTGTCCCATCGGGATATGCCATATCCAATGCTCTATTTGCCACGATCCAACATCCTGTATTCCTTCGAGAGCTCCTCCGTCTAGGTTTCAAGTTCGAGCTCCAAGACTCATTGCCACGGTCACATATAGCCTCGTGGATTGCCAAACCATACGCTACTGATATGATCACAATACTTGTGGAGAACTACGCTTTGACTAATGACCAGAGGTACCAACTACTTGAATCGGCATTGGAAAACAATGCACAACTGTCCACTGTCCTTCAAATAATAAGTGGTCCAAACTTCAATCTGTTGTCAACACAACATAGACCGAGGAGTGGGACGGATCGTCGATTCACCACTCCATTGCTTTGGTGTTGCAATCATCGAGGAGGCAGTGGTATGGAGTCATTGGAGGCAATAATATCCCTCACACCACCACAGGACATCCGAGTAGTTGAAGCATCATTGTCTGCCGCATCATTAGGACTCACTGCTCAATATGTCAGGCTGTGTGAGATCAACGCCAAAGGTAGACAACGTTTCAATCCATTGGAACACCTCCCCAAGGCATTGGAGAATGGTCATCTGGATATTGTCAATCATATTCTTCCCTATGAACAGACTTTGGAGTACCACAGGGCCATCGTGATCAATGACATTCATCACTCGATACTCTCAGTCGAGTTGTTGAGTCGACTGCTCTCATTCCCACAGTTGAGGATACAGTGCGGCCTTGCCAAAGTGATGGGCAGTGCCATTATATCTGGGAACAAAGCCGTCATTGATATTCTGGAGCAAGCTGGGAGCAGCATCAAAGTGGACTACAACCATGCTTTGAGTGTGGCCGCCATTGTTGGAGACATTGATACGGCCAAGATGATACTGTACAAGCATCCCGATAAATGTTCAATGTTAAAGATGGATAGCCATACTTTGCAATGGTCAAAGGTGTATCCGGAAGTTGGACAATTACTTTGTGATGCCAATATCCTAATCTCTTCCAATGACACCTTCGATATTATACGATCATTTGGCGAGGCTGGCAGCAGGATGACAGAATCCCTGGCGATCAACCTGGTCAATAGAGGATTGGCAAACAATCATTTTGATAGGGGGTCCTTTGCCCTTCTTCTGAAGATGGCTGCATCCAAATCATTGGTGCTCCTCAAGAGGTTGCTCTTTCATCTGGTGGCCAGCCAAGACTTCTTCCCAGGCATTTACCTTGACACCGCAGCCTTAAGGATGGCTGTGACTGCCTGTGCCAGCCGTGGTTGCACTGAAGGAATGGAGCGTCTAATCCAGCTGGCGATTGAACAAGATCCTTCAACTCGTGTCGCCGACATCCTGCCTGCGCCTGGTATGATTGAGGATGTCGTAGTCCTCACCTACCTCTTGGACAAGGAACACATCAACATGGAAGAGGAAGATGGAGCATCGTACGCACGGCTAACAGTGGACAAAGCATGTGTCAATGGAGATGTTGGCATTGTCAGACTGATACTCCAGCGGTGCACCTCGAAGGAGCGTCTGCAAAAGTATTTGCCAACAATAGTCAGCATTGGCAAAGCATCTTATCAGAATCGACACCAAATGATCCAATATCTCTTTGTTGATGAGGTTGTCGAGGCTGATGGATGCGCCAGCCGCTGGCCAGCGCCGTTCAACTATGTTGGAATGGAACCAATACACCTGGTTCGCATGCTCAAGGAGGTTAGACACGAGGCTTGTGAACGTGGTCACATGAAGATCATCAGACTTTGCGATGACATGATCAAGAAGCAATGCAAACTCGATTCATCAATCGTGATGACCAAGGCAAGTAAAAGTTGAGTTGATTGATTGATTATTTGTTTGTTTGATTGATGCGAATGAATGAAAGAATGAATAAAGATGAGGTGTCGCAAATGCCAAAGAATGAAAAAACGAAGACGACAAGTCTTTGGTTCATTCATTCTTTATCTCTTTAGATACTTACAGATAGATAGATAGTTATTAGAGGTTAGATAGTATTATATATTAATCATTCATAATAAATAATGAATAGGATATTGGAAGCATTGGGACTTGATGAGAAGCCAAAGACATTTGGTGGTAGACTGTTGCGAGGTGTACAGATTGTATCAATACCGTTGTTCTTTATTGTATTAGCCATTCGACCATTGGTATGTTTAATCATTACTACCACTCAAGAATAAATGGATGACTAATATAAATGGTAATCATTACTTTAAATGGTTATCACTACCATATTTAGGCAGAGGAAAGGAATCAACGAGTGAGAGAGGATAGAGAGAAGTTGGAGGAGATCAAACGAACACAGAGAGGTAAGAACATTGAATACATATGAGAGAGAGATAACAATCATACTCATTAATAACAACATTAGCCAACGAAGTAAAGGAATTGATGTACAGGGAGAACCCTCAACTGAAGCAAATGTTTGATGATCTGAAGAACAAGGACAAGATATAGGCTTGACCAACAACGACTTAAGAAGACGACCCGTTTACACACTGGCCGCCTTCACTGAACAGCTCTCTCCCTTTGCCCATAACACCATTCAACGACTTATGGTGGATTGATGGATGGATACACTTTAAACAGCTTTACAACAACGGTTGACGACTGACCACCGGTCAATCAAGAATGTCGGCTCTGAGAATGATAGAGAAGACGGAGTGAACGTGTCCCGTCCCTTGACTGGTATCTAATTGTTTCGAAGCATCCCAATAATAGGGTTGCGGAGTGAAAGACGCGCGTCCATCTCACCTGAACGGTTCGGCATTGGACAACACGCCCGCCCATCCATTCATTGTCAATCCACATAATTAAACTATCTGATCATTGCATTTACAATTTAGTAATAAGTCGGTTGGTGATGGCCATCAAACTACGACATAATTGTAAACTGAAATGATATGACGATCTTTCGGGCTGGCGGGCCATCCAGAATCCAAACAAAGGTCGTCATTGCAGGGCTTCGCTTTCGCTTCGCAATCCAACTACAAGACCACGCACGAATCGCCCGATCCATCCATCCAGGTAACCATCAATGGGGACCTACCTGTAGATCACAATTTAAAAGAGGACCACGTAACACACGCATAAGCTTCTCTCTCTCGCGCGTTCAAGTCAATCATACATGTACACACACACTAACACAGTTACCACATTAACCACACAATTCCTTATTCGAACATTTCAGTTGAAATTTATTAATTTCTTTTGATTTATATTATAATTATAAATATCTGAGTGGGAGGGGGAGATGCCATCGTGAGAAACAAACCAGGGATCATTCATGACCCCCATTTTTGCAAAGCCTCAACTATCTACACTCTTGCTCCCACCCATCACATCAATCACACACTCACACACTATCTCATTCCATTCACTCTCACATTCGCACGAAGGACGCACAAGGCAAAGCGTACACGCACGGGAACAACAACCTAACTCAAACATTAACGTGCTGTTATCTATCTTTATCTTTATCCTTTACAAAATAATAATATAATATATAATATATATTTACAGATAATCAATCATACTTTACTTTACTTTACTTTACTTTATTATTACTTGGAAGTGAACGAGTGATATTCAACAAAGTCAATTAACAATTATAATCAATAATCAAAATATTAGCGAGGAGAGTGAGATAGAGATAGAGATAGAGAGAGAGATGGAGCGACTGGAGGTCATACAGCAGACTTCTCCATTTGAGGAGAAGGTCACAATGAATGGAATACCAAAGAATATACGTGTAGTTATAAAGAACAGTCCTTTTAATGTGCAGTTAAAGTTGAAGAAACATGATGTCGACTTGAATAACGTGGCCTTTGAGGCAACGTTGCTATATGACAATGATGAAGAGCCGCTCGAGGAGAAGGAGGTCGACTTTGTAAAGAACAAACCAGTGGAATACAAGGCCACACCCAACGACACGGGCGACACGGTCACGTGCGAGGTGCGCATCAAGGTGCTGACGTCACAACACGAGGACATGTTCTTCCGCGTCAAGATCGCGGGCCACGAGCCCGTGTCCAAGCAGATCATCCCCAATCTCTTTGCGATCACTCATCCCATCAAGGTCATCTCCAAGCCCGAGCAGCTCAAGAAGAAGCAGCCGCAGAAGAAACGCTCGTGGAACGACATCCTGCTGGACTCGGTCGCCAAGATTCAGATGCAGCAGTCCGAGCAGCAGCGTCTCATCGAGAAGCTCATCGACCACAACTTCAAACAGACGATGGTGGCCCACTCCATGCTGTCCACCAACGGCGGCATGTCCGCCACCAACTTCCCAGCACTCACACTCAACGGCCACACTACCAGCACATCGACCACCACCACAACCACACTGACAGCGCCCAATGGCAACAACCTGACGCTGCAACAAAAGATGGAGTTTGAGGATGCTTTCAAGCAGATGATGTCCGCCTACATACACCTGGATCCTCGCCAGCGCGCCGAAAAGGTCAGACGAGTCTTTAGGAATGCCTCCTCGCGCGACTCTGAGACGCTGTCCGAGCTGCTAGATCTCTTCATCACAGAGGGCGTCGGCGGCCCACTCGGCAGCATGGCCCCTTTGCCGCTGAGTCCGAACCCTCCCTCGTCCGGCATGCCCATCGGCACGCAACCCCAGATCATGGTCGGAACGCCTCCCGGTAGCAACCCCTTTGGAGGACATTCCACCTTGATGGTTAACGATCGCAACCAAGGCGAACCATATCCCCTCTTCACATCATTACCAACTTCATTCGACGAGTATACATCCTTCAACAATGGCACAGACTTTATCCCCTTCTAGTAATGGCGCGTGTATATATAGTATACTCTGCCAGGTCAGACAACAGTCCATCCAACCCCCAGCCAGCCAGCTAGCCAGCCAACCTTCCATACTCTTCAAACGTTCAAACATATATAGACACCCGACCATCCACTCTTCCCGCCCATTCAATGGAGGTGGCACCAACGCACAACCGATCATTCACCAACGCACAACACCTACTCTCCACCTCACTCACCTGGTCCAGCCCTGTCGCCGGCTCGAACAGTCGTCCTTGCTTGCTCTCTATTGCAGCAGCTGAGACGGCGCTGTTTCCATCCATCACACACGTGTTGCTGGGGGAGTTGGAAATGGATACCCATCCGCACCGCCCCGCGGGTGGGCCAATGCCAGCAGCCTGCTGCCACTTAGGTTAAGTGTCCGCGTCGTCGCTGCTAGTTTGAGTTGGAGTTGATCGACCAATCCTCTCCTTCTTCAACACAGCTTGATGCGCGTGCCACATGGCAGCCAGCTGTTCCGCCAAACATCAACCAACCGTCCCATGTACATTAAGTGCAGATTAAAGGATTACCTTCCCTCGTCATGTTGTAAATACATCCTCTTCCCTCTCTCGTGCACGAGAGATGACTAGTATATTGTCCTCTTCTTCAGTCGGTCTGGTAGTAGTTTATTGAGTTGGCCTGTCGCGACTAGCCTAGGCTAGTTCGTTACTTCTGAGTGGCAGGGTTGACAGTTGTTGGAGTGACCTGCGCGCATATCTTCCATTGTGATGGGATGCTGGACAGACATCTCTCAAAGACGTAGATGTCCTTGAAGTCAACGTCCTTTGCCTCTGTTATAATGTTGCCTGTCCTGTTGTCSGGACAATGACATGGACTGCTTGCCAGAGAACGATAGACATATCTGAGCAAAGAACTCTGTTTGATCGCCAGTGGCTGTTGTCTTGATCTGACCAGCTCTTGCCCAAATTACCTGTGGCTTGTCGAGCTCGGCGCTCCACAATGCCTTGATATGCTTTGGTTGCATCTTGAATTGAGCTGAGAGGATCTGATTGATCAAGTGGGGGAGTTAGTGAGTGTGAGTGATTGGAATGGTTCCAGTCATTGACTGTTTGATTGATTGATGTCTTACAGAGTGGAAGTAGACTGTTGTGATCTCTTTATCAATGTTACCGCTGAGGATCGATTGGTTCAATGTTTTGAACATGTCCTTGGCTTGATTAACGAACCTGAATGAATGAATGAATGATTGAGCGAAAGGAGGAGGAGATCAGCAAGAGTACTTGATGCGACTGGACCTGAATGATGATTGCCTCGAGGCATCAAACAACAACAACACTTACTCCTTGGAGACGAACTTCTCGCCAGTGAGCTTCTTGAGCTTGGACTTGATGAGAGTGTAGGAGGCGTAGGTTCTGTAGAGATAACGTATTTGGATCCACCATTGTGCTGGCTTGGTAAGCGACTTTATGAAGCCGAGTGGCATGGTGTTTTCCATGATCTGACCAGGTGATTGAACAAAGATATTGGGCTTTACTCGCTTGCCTATCGATTGTCTCATTGATACCATGTTGGCAACTTGTGTAGTAAGTCCTATTATAAGTTCATTATTGCTGTTATATCTTGTTATTCTATTATTATTATTGTTGTTATTGTTGTTGTTATTGT